ATATATATATATATATATATATATATCAGCATATTGATGACGTAGTTCCTTGATTTCAGGGAGCTCAAGGAATCCGTGGTCTGAAAGGTCACAAAGGAGAGAAGGTAAATGATTCTTTACACATTTTACTGCACCCAAACACTAATGATAATGTATATTTTAGTTGACATATGATAATGTTTACAAAGAGTTAAGATGAATGCATTTGTTTTTTCTTTGTTTTGTAGGGAGAAGATGGTTTCCCAGGAATTAAGGGAGATTTTGGCGTCAAGGGAGAAAGGGTGAATTAAATTACAGATTAACTGGGATGCATAGATCTATGGTGAATATTCACTAAGTATTAGATTTAATGACTTGTTCTGTTTCTCACTGGTAGGGTGAGATTGGAGTTCCAGGGCCCAGAGGAGAGGATGGTCCAGAAGGGCCAAAGGGTCGAGTTGGACCCCCTGGTGAGCTTGGACCACTTGGACTTGCTGGGGAGAAGGTATGGACATTTCAGTTTGTCACAGAGTTTTATATCCTTAGAGTTACTGCAAGATACAATAACACAACTAATAATAACATCAGCCCATTTAAACAATCAGTAACTTTGTAAAAAGGTTTTGTGTAACAGGTTGTCAAATTAAACTGGTTGTGATTAATGATGTCATTGTGTTTTTGCAGGGTAAACTTGGTGTTCCTGGACTTCCTGGATATCCTGGAAGACAAGGACCCAAGGTAAGAGGAATGTTTTTACAGCATGATTTAATGGACAATTTATTGTTTAAATGACTGCAGATACTGAGTTTTATTTGTTTTTTAGGGATCKCTGGGATTCCCTGGATTCCCTGGTTCTAATGGAGAGAAGGGAACAAGGGTAAATTCTGTGAAACTTTTTGCTTCACTGTGTTCGAGTTAAGATTAACTATTTTTTGTTTAAATCAGGGCGTTTCTGGAAAACAAGGACCAAGAGGACAAAGAGGACCAACGGTACCTTTTCTAATTTATTCAATTTATAAAAACCTTACTGCTCTGTGTTTTTTCCAATCAGGGTATTAAAGAGTAASTGAAYRGAAAATATAAAAACACATTTTTTATTTAAGCCTGATGACCTCTGACCTCATGCAGCATCCATGATGATGCATGATRTTACATTTAGAGATTAAACCACTGCGGGTCAGCAGAGACTATTTTGTCAATGAGCACTGAAAAGGTGTTGAGTTATGCTTGTTATAATTTAATAAAATGTGATTTGTTTGTGCTCATCAGGGCCCCAGAGGACAGAGGGGACCAAGAGGAGCAACTGGGAAACCAGGAGCAAAGGTTTGTCTAAACATCGTTAATATTCAAACTGTTGATTTTCTGATTTCTATGTACCTGTTGGTATAATGTTCTTAATTTATCATTTGAATCAGATTCTCAAAGCCTAAATTAATTTCAACATGTGAAATAGACCATATTTTAAAAATGTGATTATCTTGATTTATTCAGATATTTATTTTCTTTATTTTKGGACTGGATTACATCCTAAAAAATGTGCAAAATAAAAAAGTGTAATTTTTTATGTTTTCTTTTTTAATGATAAAATAATACTTATTTTATTGTTTCCTGTTAGGGAACATCAGGAAGTGATGGCCCTCCAGGTCCTCTTGGAGAGAGGGTGAGTCTTTATTTGTCACTGCAGTAAACAACGTGTGTATTTGTGTTGTTATAAACAATTATACCTGTTCTTATCATATGATGTGATCTCACCAGGGATTACCAGGACCTCAGGGAGCCAATGGTTTCCCTGGACCAAAGGGACCTCCTGTAAGAAAATATTTAATTTTTAGTCTTTTTATAAAATGATTATAGATGTTGTACAGTTTCAAGACTTAATTTTTATTTATTTTCTCAGGATTGATGCTCCTTCTTGGTTTCTAGAAAAGCTTTCTTATTTAATACAAGTTATTAAYATATAAAATAAATTTACAGGGACCACCAGGAAAGGATGGACTGCCTGGACATCCTGGACAGAGAGGAGAAGTTGTGAGTCTGATTTTGCTGTGTGTTTAATCAGTTTGAGTGAAACTRTGAGGATGGTTTTAAGTTGAATTATTTTTGAGGAATGCATCAGAAGCATTGTGATGCATTTAAACAGTGTGTTTGATATTTTGTGGATTATCTGTTGATTGAGTTCTTCTCTTATAGGGTTTCCAAGGTAAAATGGGTCCACCTGGGCCTCCTGGAGTTGTTGGACCACAGGTGGGTTGATCATTGTGGTGACCATTTTCTAATTTCTGATACTTTAAACTTCATTTTTCACATTTTTATAACAATGCAATCAATCCTCTCTTAATAATTTTCCTTTCTTCTTTGAACCTTCTAGAAATATCTTATTTCTTTGACATCACACTTTATTTCAAGGGGTGCAAACAATACAGAAAACTGATACTTTAGTCTCAAAATTCTATATTTTCTCGATACAAAAAAGAGAAATGTTTATGCCCTTCTTAACTTGTAATTTATTGAAATTAATTATAAACATTTTTTTTTACTTTAAAAGTAAAGTTTTTCAATTATATGTTGCTGAAACAGCAAGTTTCTCAGTGGATCTGTGCTCCACAGTGCAGCCTWGGCAGAGTAGTTGAACACAGATCCACTGATCCTTCAGAAGACAAGCTGATAAAATAAAAAATAAAAAAATCTAAATTGTTCCATACATAGTGTGTATTGAACCTTTTGAATGGTTCCATACAAATACATGTATTGGTGCATCCCTATTTATTTCCTCTCATGTTTCATGTAAGTGATTGTCCAATCTACCTCCATCCTYCCAGGGTCCATCAGGAGAAACAGGTCCTATGGGCGAGCGTGGCCACCCCGGACCCCCTGGTCCACCAGGAGAGCAGGGACTTCCTGGTCCCTCRGGGAAAGAGGGCACAAAGGGAGATCCCGGACCTACAGGAGGCCCTGGGAAAGATGGCCCCCCTGGTCTGAGAGGGTTCCCTGGAGAGAGAGGACTTCCTGGAACCCCTGTGAGTAGAAAAACAGCATGTAACACCAAACTGTTAGTATGTTTGGTCAAAATAAGAGCTTTAGATGTTTTTAGGTTTTCAAATGGACCATCAGTAAAAAATAAGTTAATGTTATTGAACAATTCATCAATAACAAAGCACCCAGTTTTAGGACTTTTCTTCTTCTTTTATGTTTTCGGTTTTACCAACAAAATGTTAAATATAATAATAAATTGACTTAAGAAAATGATTCGACCCTTTTAATGTTTATTTTCAGGGTGGTGGAGGACTGAAGGGAAGTGAAGGACCTGCTGGACCTCCTGGACCTGCTGTATGTTTTTAAACCTTCTCAGACTCTTTCATATTTTGAACAGTAATATTTACCAAAATAAGTACAGACAGTTATATTTAATTTTYATTATTAAATTAAATGTTATATGCACTTTTTTAGGGTTCTCCTGGTGAGAGGGGAACTGCAGGAACTGCTGGACCTGTGGGTCCTCCTGGTAGACCAGGTCCTCAGGGTCCACCTGGACCGGCTGGAGAGAAGGGAGTTCCTGTGAGTATTCTAGATATGATATTAAATTKTATTTTTTGTGTTTAGCTAAATTAAAAATCATATTTTAATATTTCTCTTTTTCCTTGTTAAGGGTGAAAAAGGCCCCATTGGTCCAGCCGGTCGAGATGGGGTTCARGGTCCAGTGGGTCTGCCTGGCCCTGCTGGAACACCTGGAGGACCTGGAGAGGATGGAGATAAGGTTGATAACATCATATGACAGACCTAACTCTAAATTTACCATTTTAATCCCATCAGTCTTGTTAAACGTTTGAAAGATTGTTTCATATTTATAATTAAATTAATTATTTACCAACTGTAAAGAAACTTCTATTTATTTATTTTGTTTATTCTTTATAAAATAATACATTTATGTTCATGAGTCCTAAGTATATTTCTTATCCAGAAGAAAACCGTTGGCTACAGAATTGTCAATTAAAAATATAATAAATTTAAATAAAGTTGAAAACTGTATGTTTGTGATTTCAAAATAAAAGCGTTYCATAAAACTGTTTTCGTGGTTTCAGGGTGAAGTTGGAGAACACGGTCAGAAAGGCGCCAAAGGAGGAAAAGGAGAACATGTGAGGAACTTCAACACTTTTTGTTTTGCATGCTAAGAATCAAAAATGTTTCAAATGAGTTTAAAAAGAATATTTATATCTCATGTTTGTTTTGTGATTTTCATGTTTGTTGTTTTTGTTATCAGGGTCCTCCTGGTCCACCTGGTCCAATGGGTCCTGTTGGTCAGCCTGGTCCTGCTGTGAGTAGAAGAAGTCTGAGATGTCACATTTTTAAACACCTGTGCTCTCATCTCCAGGTGTTTATTTTTCTTCTTCTGTGGTGCAGGGAGCTGACGGGGAGCTTGGACCGAGGGGGCAGCAGGGGCCTTTTGGAGCCAAAGGTGATGAAGGAACTCGAGGATTCCCAGGTGCTCCAGGACCCATCGGACTTCAGGTAAACTTTCCAAACAAACAAAAGAAAAGTGTTTTATTAGATCTTTATCTTAAACATTAAAGTGGTTGTTTTRGTTTCAACTAACTTTTGCACTAAGACCCTTAGCTACATAGCAAAATATATATTTCTTTTTTTTAAACCTGCCCCTCTGTTCTGCAGGGTCTGCCGGGACCTTCAGGTGAGAAAGGAGAGACAGGAGATGTTGGACCAATGGTGAGTTTCAAAAATTCAGAATTATTGTAGYAATTAATGATGCTACCTTTCTTTGACTATAAAATAATTAACAATTATAAAACAAAAACCTCTTTATGTTTCCAGGGTCCTCCAGGCCCTCCAGGACCCCGTGGTCCTGCTGGACCCAAYGGAGCTGACGTGAGTTTTGTGTCAAATAAGAAGAATTCAAATAATGTTGTWGTGTTGAATTTATTTGATTATGGCTACCAAAGAGAAAATAGTTTTTTTCTTTTGTTATAAATCATTTAACTCACTTATTAGAATTTAAAATTATTAAAATGTTGGTGTCTGATTTGTTTTTGTTTTTTTTTTTGTGTGTTTTAGGGTCCACAAGGTGGTCCTGGTGGTATAGGTAATCCTGGACCGATTGGAGAAAAGGTAAAACCCTGGAATCAAACTCCTGCACTGGTTCATTGATCTCCATAAAAAAAGGATTTTAAATATTTACTGTTTGCTCCTCAGGGAGAACCTGGTGAAGCTGGACCACCTGGCATCGGAGGAGAACCTGGAAAGAAGGTGAGTACCTGAGCGTCCGACCCAAACYACAACTAAATGTTCCTTTTTTGATTTAAAATTAATTTTAATAAACGTGTGTCCCTGTTGGCAGGGTCCTCGAGGAGAGCGTGGAGAGAAGGGAGAGGCGGGACAACCTGGAACTGCTGGGACTGCAGGAGGACGAGGACGACCTGGAGACGACGGACCCAAAGGAAACCCTGTGAGACACGATGAAGCTCGTAGTTTAACTTCCACTCACACGACAAACTAAACACTTTCTGATCTCTGAGATTTGTTGTCCAACTTCAGGGTCCTGTTGGGTTCCCTGGAGATCCTGGTCCTGCTGGTGAGGTCGGACCCAGAGTGAGTATCATCATTTATTTCTTAGACTTCAGATCTTTGTTGTATCTAGTTTTACAGATGCCAGCTCATATTTTCTTAAACTTGCTGTTAAACTCACCAAAACTAAATCAAATCTGCTTCACTTTCAGGGTCAAGATGGAGCAAAGGGAGAGAGAGGAGAGGATGGTGAACCAGGAGAGTCTGTGAGTAAAATGATGCAACAGGACAGATTTTATTACTAAAGTGTTTTATTCTGCTTTAGACTCATGTTGTGTCTTACTGCAGGGCTCCCCAGGACCTCCTGGAGAGAACGGCCCACCTGGCCCACCAGGAAAGCGAGTAAGCTCATCGTGAATGTTTAAACAAGTTAATGAAAGTTTAATCAATCYTTAATATTTATTACATATTTTTGTTTTCTTTGCCAGGGTCCTGCTGGAACAAGAGGACCAGAGGGACGACAAGGAGAGAAGGGAACCAAAGTGAGTCCAGATTTTATTTATGCTTTATGTTAAACATAATAGTAAATRACACAAAAATGGTTCTAAATAAGACTTCTGGACTAAAATTGTGAGACTGATTATTTTAAGTTACTTCCAATGCCCTGATTACTTTTTTATTTCCACAAAAAAATGTCAAAGCATCACAAATGTGAGACCAAAACTGAACAATTATAACAATTACAGGCTTATATCCAAGCTTAAAATGTATAAACATCAATAAATTGTGTTTTTAACTTCTACCAAATAAAATTTGTTGATTAAAGAGTCCATACATCTTTTGTAAAAAATAAAAAAAATAAAAATTTACTGCAACAAGTATAAATTAAATGTTGAATCTGTTCCATATTACATCTTATTAAACTTAATTTATTAATGATAATTGTCATCCTTCACAGGGAGATCCAGGTGCACTCGGGCCCCCAGGAAAGACCGGCCCCGTTGGTCCACAGGGTCAACCAGGAAAACCAGGAACAGAAGGTCTCAGAGGACTCCCAGGATCAGTGGTAAATTTAGTTTTAAATTATATCTGCACTGAGAAATCCAGAAACTACACCTTCTAAAGGTGYTGGAGACCACCTGAGTGTGCTTCACTGTGTTTCAGGGGGAGCAAGGAGCTCCAGGACCTGCTGGACAAAAAGGACCACCTGGACCTATGGTGAGACGAATATAGTTTCTTTCAAACTTTAAACCTTAGCTTAATAATAAAACTGGTGATTTTCTTCATGCAGGGACCTCCTGGTTTGGCCGGTCTGCGTGGAGAACCTGGTGCAAAGGGTGAGAAGGGACACCAAGGTCTTCTCGGTCTGATTGGACCTGCAGGAGAACAGGGAGAAAAGGGAGACCGGGGTCTGCCTGGGCCTCATGGATCCACCGGACCTAAGGGAGAGCCTGTAAGTTTGTTTCTGTCACGTTTTTTTTATTCTAAAAACACATTTAAACTTGTTTTCTGTGTTTTATTTCAGGGAATGGTGGGAGGAACCGGACCCATCGGGCCTGCTGGTCCTCCAGGTCTTCCTGTGAGTCTAAAATATTTAGTTTTTATAATCCCACCTGATTCAGATCAGTTGTAATTATTTAAATCTCATGTCTTTTCCAGGGTCCTCAAGGTATTAAAGGTGCAAAGGGTGCGACTGTAAGTATATTATATTTTAGTGTTTATCTTTTTATACATAAATAGGAATTATTTTTATCATAAAATCTATTTGTTTCTGTTTTTAGGGAGGAACTGGTCCAAAGGGAGAAAAGGGTACACAAGGACCTGCTGGACCTCCGGTGAGTGCGCCATCTTTTCTTGAAAAATAAAACAGCAAACATTAAAATTTTAAATATTTTATTTACTCTCTGCCTCTAAACTTGCCCCCCAGGGCCCACCAGGTGAGGTCATTCAGCCTCTGCCCATCCAGAGGAGTCCSAAGTCCAAACGCTCCATCGACGCCAGCCAGCTCCTCCCCGAGTTTGACCCCGACACGCCCGCCTCCGACACCGCCGGCGCCGAGTTCCTGACGGGCGGCGAAGGCATGGAGGAGATCTTCGGCTCTCTGAACTCGCTGCGACAGGAGATCGAGACCATGCGCTTCCCCCTGGGCACTCAGGACAGCCCCGCCCGCACCTGCCAGGACCTGCACCTGAGCCAGCCGGACCTTAAAGACGGTAATGATCCGAACATTTACACCACATTTATTCTTTCATAAACTAACTGGAGTTTACCCACCTGTCTGCAGGAGAGTACTGGATCGACCCGAACCAGGGCTGCTCCAGAGACTCCTTCAARGTCCTCTGTAACTTCACTAACGGAGAGACGTGTCTGTACCCCAGAAGAGGCATCRACACGGTCAGATTCATTAAAAACTCAATAAAACCATGTAGTCCAATGGAAAACTTCCTGTTTGTGAAACATTTTCTTCAATTTAAAATCCTTGACCAAAGAGCTTTCTACATCTAAAATTAAACTAAAATTTCTGAACTTTAAATCAGTGGCAGATATAGGATTTTTCTGAGTMAGRGGCCATCAAGGGGCCACAATATTCATAGAGGKGCCAAGTCTTTGTTCAACATCTTTTCACACAAATTCCCAGTGTATACACTTTACACTTCAAACACTTGTATTTTTTTTAAAAAGGTACCACTTTACAATAAGGCCCCCCATATAGAGGGCTTTTAAAAAGTTAATAGATAGGTTATTAATTAATCTGGAAACACTTTAAAAATTATTAGTAAGTGTTTATTATGCAATAATTAAGGACGAGAAAGAGACAAAATTGTCCAGTTTCATTTATTAATGATTTATGAAGTGTAAACTTTACAAATGAATTAATAACCTATCTATAAACTCTTTATAAGCCATCTATAAGGGGAACTTGATTGTAAAGTGGTACAAAAAATCTTCTACAGTAAATTCTCCTCACCAGTTTTTTATATATTTTACTGAACATAGATAAAATATTTTCAAACACACATGTGAGAAAACGCAGCCATCATTTGTCAGTTGAAAGACTTTTTTGCAGGATTGTTCACTTTGTAAGAAGAGAAGAATTCTGTCAGCTTGATTCATTCTGGACTTTACTATTTGACTCATTAGYRCARCTAGTGTTTGAACATGGAACTGCATCCACCATCATCACCCCCAGGTAAAGGACAGATGAGTGACAGGACAGGGGCACTTCAGGGGGCCAATCAGATTTCAGCTGGGGCTAATGCCCCTGAGGTCCCGCCCCTAGAACCGCCCCTGCTTTAAATTGAATTTTGCCCCAGTTGGTTCAGAATTTGTTTTTTCTAAATGTTGAYTCTAACCTCTGGATTGTCTGATCTGCTGCAGGTAAAGATGAGCTCCTGGGACTCAGAGACTCCAGGATCGTGGTTCAGTGAGTTCTCCTCTGGTAGTAAGGTTAGTAATCCTTCGTATGAAGATCAGTTTTAATGTTTTCTTAATTACCACTCAGTTTTTGTTACGTTCTCCTCTTCAATCCTCTCAGTTCTCCTACGTGGACTCTAACGGTGATCCTGTGGGCGTGGTCCAGCTGGGCTTCCTGCGCCTGCTGAGCGTCCAGGCCCGGCAGAACCTCACCTACCACTGCCACCGCTCGGTGGCCTGGGCCGACCGCAGCGCCAAGAACAATCACGAGAGGGCGCTGCACTTCCGAGCCGCTAACGACGAGGAGCTGAGCTACGAGACCAACCCTTACATCAAGGCTTTGACGGACGGCTGCTCTGTGAGTTCTCAGCGTTTAGCTCCTCCCCCCTCCGGGTTTCGGGCCGCCGCTGACGTGTTTCTGTGTTTCTGCAGTACCGTAAAGGCTTCGACAGGACGGTGCTGGAGATCAACTCGCCACAGGTGGAGCATCTGCCTCTGCTGGACATCAAGGTGTCAGACTTTGGGGAGAGCAACCAGCAGTTTGGGTTTGAAGTGGGACCTGTGTGTTTCCAGGGCTAAACACACACACACACACACACACACACACCATCCAGAGAACACACACACCTAGAGACACACATGATAAACATACAGGCTCAGTAATTTGTAAATTAACTTGTAAATGATGACACACACACATACCAACACTGTGGGAAAGCAACATCCTCCCAACAACTGCTGGACCTAAAGGTCAAGAGGAGAAAAATGTAAAAACTTGTGAGGAGAACATCGACTGGGAGCAACAAGGAGGAAACAGAAGAACTTTTTTTTATTTTAGAATAAAATGATGATTTCAGGAGCAGGGACCCAGGCCCGGGTTTAAACCTGAAGACCCTCATCTCCAACCCCCCCATCTCCTCCGCTGACACCTTTCTCCACTCCTGCTCCCCCYCGTCTTAAAATAAGAGTCACTCTGAACCTGTGAGCAACATGAAGAACACTCCGGTTATAAATCTGTTCAGTTATTTATTTTGGCTCTTTGATCAGATCTGAAACTAATTTTTCATTCACCAAATTTAAATTAAATCTTACAYGTCCACCGACCTGTCAATCATGTTGCTTACATCACTTCATGTCACAACAAAATAAATAAAATACCACCAGTTTCCACCAGAACACAGAGGGAACGGACCACCTGACACCTGCAGGGTCTCTCATCTAATTAATCTTTAATAAAGTTCTTTTTTTTTCTGACTGTTTACTGTGATTTAAACTCAAACTGATAATTAAAACGTTCGTGGTGCTTTTTAAACTCTCAACTCTGAAAGCTGCAAAAACTTTGGGATTGTTTATTTGTTAGAGTCAACAAAAGATAAAGATTATTTTTCTTTTAAATTATAATGAAAAACCTGAGTGGCCTCGAGACACCACTGCAGTATTTACTGAAACTCCTTTTTTTTTTTTTTAATAAAACAGACTTTACTGAATGAAACTGTGTGGTAAGGTGCTAATTATATATAAAAAATCTCCATTTGTTTTTTAGTCTCTTTACAATTTCACAAAGCTTTTTACTAGGGAAATGTGCATTACAATACATTTGTACAGAAATAGTAATATTCTATTGTATTTATTTRAAACAAAGGGTGCTTTGAGATTAAAATAAGAACTTAGGTTTATTTCCAGCCGACTCTGCGTTTTTATTTGATTGAAATGTTGAAAGTGGCGGTCGGCTCCAGCTGTGAGGCTTCTGTTCACACCCTGACTTTTTGTACAACCAAAGAATCTGTGGCCGTGTTTTCCTGTAATAATCCCTTGTTGTAGTTGTTTCCATCAGCTGGAACTGTGCTGTTTAAATTTCCACTGTAATGATTAAATGGAGACTCTCCAGTTCCGTCACTTCTCTGTCTTCTTGCAGTTCCACTCGTCTGGTTGTTGCTTCAACTAAATCCTTTATTTTACATTTCAGAGACCACTTCTGTGGGGAGGGAGGCTGGAGGGGGTTTGTCAGCCGAGACGGAGCGAAAACTGATGATTTTACATCAGAGTTCTGGTTTTGTTTTTTTTAATTTAACAACAAACCAGGCAGGAATCAACCTAAAGTAACAAAAACCTTTCAGAGAGAATGACCTCAACTATTTGTTTTATTGTGTTGAAACGTTTCAACACAAAGAAACTGGTGCTGAAAAGAGAAATAARTATTATTTTATAATGTCTGTAAGTAATTTTTTTTTGACAAATTCATGTTTCTGTAATATATAATCTTTTTAAAAAGAGCTGAWTGACTCTTGTTTTTCTTACGTCTCATTGTGGCAGCTGATTAACGTTTTTAAATTGAACAGGAAGAAAGAAAATGTTTTTGTTGTAAACACGGCTTCTGGTTTTACATAAAGAAAAGGATAGTTGTAATAAAAAAGAAAAAATAATGGCTTTTTTAGTTTGTGAGAAATAAAAATATGTAAAATGTCTTTATTTTATTTGAGAACTTTATTTGACCAACATCCTCTGCTGACAGATTTTCTGTTTAAAATAATAAAATATTTTACATACATACTCCTTTTTATCTTTAAAGCAAGAAGCCTTGTTTGTCACTAATAAAGTGTCATGGAATCATCAAAACAGCTTTAATTATTTATRAAGTAATAAACTTTTTGATCAGCTTCACTTCAGCAGGAAAAACTAATTACTTTTTCCAAGAATCAATCTAAACTTAATTACTGGTGTAGTTTTAGTTTGCTTAGATCAGTTTTTAATTTGGTTCTATTGATTTTTAAAGWGATTTATTCTGGCTCGGTGCTCTTTACCTTTAACATGAAAACAGCTCCATCTTGTTCAGAAATCCTGCTAATCTGAATTAAACCTCAGTTTGATGCTGTGAAATAAAAACAAAAAATGTTAGAAGATTAAAACAACTTCCTGTGAATCATTAAGATGCACAAACATTTATGATATAAAATTTAACTCATTTTAACTTGAATGACTTTTTTTTTTAATATAACAGGGTTTTGCAGCAGCACTGAAGAATAGAAAATTACCTCAAATTGAGTCGTATCACTTTGTGTTTCAGGAGAAAGTTTATTTTTGAGTTAATAAATCTTACTTCTAAAGTCTCAGTTAACCGTTAATGTGTTTAAACACATCTGTAACATGTTAAAGCACGAATTAAAATATTAAAATTCTTTTTACACACAGAGGGAATCAGATTAACGTCTCGCCTGTTTAATCTGAAGAACAGATTCCAGCTTCAGATTTTATTTGGTTTAAAAATCAACCGTGAAAAAAACTATTTTAAATTGGATATTAATCTGAAAACTCTTTACAAAAAATCAGATTTAAATCTCAGCAGATTCTAATTTCTGTAAAGAATAAAGTTTACTCACCACGAGCTGATAAAATATTTCATTAAACTTTAGAAATATTCTGATTTTAAAAGTATTTATTCATTCAAGTATTTATTTGTACAAAACATTTTCACAATTTACAACTCATGACTCAACTAGAATTACAAATAATTATTTTACACTCATGATTAAATAGTTTTAATTTGCATTAATTTGTTGCTTTAATTATGAAGAAAATGATCTCCAGCTTCAGACAGCTTCAACCCATGAAAAGTCCTCCTGACAAAACAAAACAAGTTTTCTTTACTTGCTAATGAAATAATTTCTTTAATGGTTCATATTTACAGGTGGGAGTTAAATAAAAGTGAAATATTTCCTGCAGAACAGAACGTACCCGTCACTTCGATGCTGGCTCCTGTGATGTACCCAGAATCATCTGAAGCTAAAAAGGCACAAACATCTGCCACCTCTGGAGAAATATAACTAAATTATCCACTCATTCCAGATTATTTCAGTCATTTTAAAGTCTTATTATCATAAATCTGTTAGTTTTTAATAAACTCTGAGAAAGATGTGAAACATCTGGACCGACCTGCAGCTTCACCCATTCTTCCCAGAGGCACCAGAGGCAGAACCTGAACCAGGAAATACATTATGATGATCCAACTGTTTGACTGAAATGATTGTGAAGCTTGATTTATTTTAGTCCTGACAGATGAAAAAATAATATTATTAAAATAATAATAAGTTAATAAATAACCTTGTTGATAACTTTCTCTGGAACTTGATCTGTCATTGGAGTCGATATGAAGCCTGGCAGCACACAGTTACAGCGAATCCCAAACCTGAGCAGAGAAAAATAAAAATAAACTCTTTCTGTGTCTCAGTTTGTTCCTGATGAATCTGATCCTTCTCACCTGCTGAGCTCTTTAGCAGCAGTCCTGGTTAAACTTTCAACTCCACCTTTAGAAGCCGTGTAGTTCACCTGCCCGATGTTTCCCACCTGCAAACATCGTCCACACAGATAAAAAACAAATAACATCTATATATGTCTGCTTGTCCTAAAAAAGACTAAAACCTTCATTTTAAATCCTAAAATCATGACATAAAGTCTGGTTTCTCACCTTTCCTAAGATGCTGCCCACAGTAATGATGGATCCTTTAGGAGCTCCGCAGGCAACCAGAGCCTGAGCCACGGCCTGAGTGACCAAGAAGGAACCCTGAGAGGAAAAACATGAAATAAATCAATTTTTCGATTTTAACCTTTGAACACAACTTGACACTACATCATGAACTGTGTCTAGATCTGGTTTAGGTTTGATTGACAGATCTGTTACCTTCAGGTTGACCTGGATGACTCGGTCAAACTTCTCCTCGTCCATGTTGAGCAGGAAGTCGTCCTGAGTGATGCCGGCTGCGGTCACGCACACCGAGGGAGGCTGGAAGTACCGAGTCTGCAGAGGGCAACACGGACGTTTAAAGAAAAGAGAAGAAAACATGAAACACTCCCAGCAGCTGCTCTTCACACCTGTATGCTTGTCACCAGCTGCTTTACGCTCTGCTTTGACGACACGTCCACCACAGCCGCCGTGTGCTGCTGCCCTCTGAGGTTATTTATCAGACTCTTCATCGTCTCGTTGGCCGACTCCTCGCTGATGTCAGCGACCACCACCGACGCTCCTTCAGAGGCCAAACGCTGGCACACCGCCCGCCCGATCCCACTGCCTCCACCTGGGAACAGAGAGCAGGAAACTACGACCAGGTGTGCAAAAGTCCCTGTACTGTGACATTTAAATTTCTCACAATCTGAGAGGCAGATTGATTGATTCTCAGACTGCAAAGGAAACAAAATTATCCTTTAAAATATCAAAAATATAACAAATAATGTACTCAACTGATCACAGAGGATTTAGCTTGCGTTATGAATAAATCTAAGCACACAAACAAAAGACAGTCATTCCCTAAATATAATGGAAATTTATTGTCTCCAGATTTTAAAAACTTGTTTTTTTTTTTTTTTTTGGAGTTTTGTAGAAGAAAACCACTAGAGTAAAATCTAATGAGTAGTTATTGAATATAATTAAATTGGCCTAAGAATATTGCTAATATCTTTGTTTCATGACCACTAATTATGTCCCAATAATCGTCCCATCTAAAAAATAATTTTAAAAAAAGGATAAATTTTACTTTGCATTCATCTTCACCAAAACTTTTTACAAACCAGGCGAGTTCGAAGTTTCACGTTGAACAATAAAAGTCTCGTCTTTGTTTTACAGAACAAACGTTCATTTAAATTAGCACCAATTTAAAATAACATCTAACTAAAGACATAATTTACAGAGTAAAAGATGAATAATTAAACAAAAAACTAACCAGTGACCAGGGTCAACCTCGATATGAGTCTCGCGGTGGCCGCCATGATGGTTTTCAGTGTTGTTGCAGTTTCTGGTTTGTCCGCCAGAGGGCGACTGTTCATGTCATCTACTTTAGAATTTTATTTTATTTTTTAACTCCTTTTATTTTAGAGTTTAAGCACAGATAATCATATCAACTACCAAAGAATCGGTAGTGTATGAAAACGATTATAGCTAAAACAAAAGTCGGTGTAGGCTATAAATCAACCTGTTAGACTTTCTATATATGCATCTAAATTGTACTTAAATTAGAAAATACTAAAATTTTTAAATAGTTTACCACACCACAAACACAAATTAGTTTCACAGCCCTAAACTAATATAAAATGAAAGCATAAGTGTCTGCTGAAATTATAAAACTAGCGCTCAAAATGTTTTTATTTTGAAAGGAAATGACCTGAAGTAGTAGTACAAGTTTTCATATGTAGCTTGATTACACCATGTAGTTTCATACTGTGACCACAGGAGGGCGACAAAGCGTCCGAGTCAATATATTTCCATGAAAACGTGGTACTTTATTGTACTTTTTTCAAAAAAAAAATTATTTAATAAGTATTTGAAATTATAT